CGGCTTAAAGATCGACAGAGAGGTGGATTTTTCGGAGGGCTGGCGACAATGCTTGCGCGGTCCACGGTTTTTGTGCCGCTGGATTCAATTCTTCCGGAGTTCCAAAATGACAGCCCGAACTATCCGGGGAGAAACATTTTGCAGTGCTGAGGAAAAACGCCGTATGAGCTTTTAAACGTAAGCTTTTTAAAGCTTTTAAAAATTTGTTTGGGTAAAAAAACGAATACTTGAGGGTTCTCTCGAGCACGCTAACTTCCAAACTTGCGTACATTTTTGCTTAATTTTGCAGAGCGCTTTTTTTTGCTATTTGACTTACAGAATCTGAAAATTTCAGGGGAAAATATTTATAGTTTTCCTCAAAAATATATACTTTGTCGGGGGGAGATTTGGAACATCATGATGCTCATACGACGTTTTTCCTTAGCATGGTGGAATTCTTGTCAGCCATCGGAGTCAATATATTTTAATTATAAAATCGGCTACCACGGGTTCTAACGAGTGTGAGCCAGAGATATTAAATTTTAATTTTAGAGACATCGCGCTGCTTTCTGCCCTAGAGTTTGAGAGTTATTTCCGGGAGTAAGTTTGAGTCCGGCAAATGACATTCAATGATCGACACTTGTGCAGTGCGAAAAAAATCATCTCTCTCCTTTAGAAGGGCATTTTACGCGGATAGAGCTTCCCGATTTGTGGTATTGACGTACAGGCTTCCAGGAAGCAAATTATGTGGATGACTAATTTCCAAAAGAAAAAAAATTGTCGATGACGCATTTTACAGAGGCTTTCAGAATTAGATTTTTCCTCAAGTGTGGCGATCTAACCATTGACGAAGGGACTGACGTTTGACAAGGGGGAAATAGTATCTTGCCCTGTTGTGAATTTGAGGCCAGATCTCCACCGTAGCACATTGAAAACGGACAAGAATTTTTCGCTTGGCTCACATAAAGGCGTAACTACACTTAGAGATGAGCCGGGAAAAGCATTGAGTTACACGGACGACAGGCCTTATCTCAAAGTGTAGTTACGTCTTATTCATACCAGGAAGATGACGAATTATCGAGACGAAAAATATGGCAATGCACGAAAGTAATAT